ACACTTAGCCCTGTTTACAGAGTGCAGGTTCTAAGCCCTTCGCACTCATAAACTCACTTAATCCGCACAGTAACCCAATGAGGAAATTGAGGCACAGAGAGGGTAAGTGACTTGCTCAAGGTCACACAGCAGGTGAGTGGCACAGCCAGGCACTCCACTAAGCTCTGCACGATGCAAAGGCAGGCAGACCTGATGAACAGGCTGGTGTGGCTAGATTCAACCAACATCTGGGCCTGCCATCCAGGAGGTGACGGGGCCTTTGTCATTCATAGAGTCAGGTCTGGGATCTGTGACACTGGGTCAGCTGAGCACCTGGCCACCCCATCCTGGTCTCAGTCACCTGCCCTTTTGGATCCGGGTCATGGAGAGGCTGTCATCTGGTGACATCACAGATGACAAATCATGATGACTTTGCCAAGGAAGTGACAAGGTCTCAATTGCCAAGAAGAGATGGAGCTGTGATGCAGCAGCAGAAAGACAGATCTTTCAGAGGCACAGGGGTGGCTGCAGCCCCAACAGCCCAGAGAAATCTCAGAAGGAGAGGGGCAGAGGGGCCCCACATGACCAACTTGGAAGCTGCAGGCCAGGGGCTGGGTGTCTGCCTGTGCCTTCCACACCATGTTACGGTTCAGAAAGCAAACATCCAGAGCAGTGTAATAGATACATCCTGTCATACATGCCTGTTTTTGCAATTTTTTTCTATCCTATATCTCACCATCACGTGTTAATTATTGCCTCCGCTCTTAGCATGTTATCTCTGTGATGTTAAATTCTGTACTTGGTCTTCATCCTGCTGCCTGACCCCATAGTAGGTGCTAACAATATTGGTTTGATTTAAATCCCACTTCAGCTCAAACTTCTAAATGTGTAGAGGTCACTTAGGGTTACCCACTCATGGAGAATGAGCACCTTGGGTTGGTGAACAGAGGGACAGCAGCCAGAACCCAAGCAGGGCAAGAAGACCCCGCTTTCTCAGCATCTCTCCCAGGGACACAAGGACAGCCAGCAGCATCTCTGTGTCCCCAGGGAAGATGGGGAGGAGTTGCAGCGTTTCTCCTGGTGCCCAGTGGCATAGTGGACCACCTTCAATGGGCTGCTGACTCTGCAATTATGTTTGTCTCTGAAAACAGCTATACTACAGCTAGAAATCAAAGGATGTCCACATAAGCAAACAAACCTTTTAGCTATTGCTATGGGCTGTGGGTTGAATTCTGTCCTCCCAAGTCACACGCTGGAGTCCTAACCCCCAGTAACACAGAATGGGACTTTTTTTGGAAGTAGGATCTTTGCAGACGTAATTAGTTAGGATGAGTTCACACTGGGGTAGAATGGAGTTTCTTATAACAAGGGAAATGTGGACACAGACATGTGCACATCTACAAGGCAAGGAACGTCAAAGATGGCCCTCAGACCACCCCGAGCGAGGGCCAAGGCCTGGAGCCCATTCTCCCTCACAGCCCTCAAGGCAACCAGCCCTGGAGACACCTTGATCTCAGACTTCCAGGCTCCAGAACTGGGAGACAGTTCATTTCTGTTGTTCAAACCACCCTGGCAGTGGTGCTTTGTCACGGCAGCCCTGGCAAACTACGCAGCTATTTCCAACCATGGATCCAGCCTCAGCAAGTGAGCGAGTCACAGAGGATCGCCGTGGGAAGAAGAGGGTGGCGGTGTCCTTCTTACTAACGGGGGTGCAGTAAACTGCTCTCCGATGACCTGCCCCTCATCCGCGCCTGCCTCCACCCAGCCAGTTTCTGGTTCCCACACTTGGAACCACCCTCCCTACTCACTTTCATCTCCCTTCTTTTCTTTTTAACCTGCCCACCTCCAGGGCTCCAGACTCACCTGGCTTTGCATCAAACATCCCAGTTGGTCTCTCCCAGCTGTGCAAATACCAAGGCTGCCTCGAAACACAGGAGCGTTAACTCTGGGAAACAAGAGTAAGAAAGACACACGGGGGCAGAGGTGAAGGGGCACCTCACGGCCTGGCCAGTCACCTGGTGGGGGCCATGCTTAGCGATTTGCCAGATTGGCCAGGTATCATGAGAGCGAATGCAGACTACAGAACTGAAAGTAAGACGCAGCCCATTTATGTAAGGAAGAAAGGACGTGTTTATGGTTCTGCCGGATGTATCCCAAGGAGTTCGTGCGAATTAGCTCTGGATGCTGAAGTAGCAAATGGTTTCAATTTTATTCCTCTTGCTCATAAATATGGCAGAGTATGTTAGCAGGAAACATGTATGTAAGCGTGTCTGTGCGTGCAAAAATAGTAATACAGTCAGCCCTCTGTATCTGGGGGTTCCATGACTGCAGATTCAACCAATCATGAACCTAAAATATTCAGAAAAACTACAAATATAAATAATAATACAACAATAAAAACGTGAATAAAAATACAGTATAACAACTATTTACATAGCATTTACATTGTATTAGGTATTATAAGTCATCTAGAAGTAATTTAAAGCACATGAAGGGTGCGCATAGGGTTTTGTTTTTGGTTTTTTGTTTGTTTGTTTGGGTGTTTTTGGTTTTTTTTTTTTTGTGTGTGTGTGTGTTTTTTTTTGAGTCAGGATCTCACTCACTCTGTCTCCCATGCTGAAGTGCAGTGGCATAATCACAGCTCATTGCTGCAGCCTTGACCTCCTGGGCACAAGCAATCCTCTTGCCTCAGCCTCCTGAATAGCTAGGACTATAGGCATGCACCACCACACCTGGCCAATTTTTGCATTTTTTGTGGAGACAGGATAGCCCTATCTTGCCCAGGCTGGTCTCAAACCCCTGAGCTCAAGCAATCCACCTGCCTTGGCCTCTCAAAGCTATGGGATTACAGGCTTGCATCACTGCACACAGCTGCGTGTAGATTCTATATAAGGAACTTGAGCACCCGTGGATTCTGGTATCCATGAGGTCCTGGAGCCAACACCCCATAAATACGGAGAGACAACTATACTGAAAATCTTGAGTAGATCAGAACCTAAGGACTCAGACATTTCAATGTCTGCATCGAGTGAGGCTGACCTGAAGTGGGTTAGAGGGGGAAGCTTTCTTTGTTATCCACTTCTCTGTGACCCAGCACGTTAGATGAGACTACCTTGACCAACCATCCCAGTTGACACAGAACCAAGGGATTTTCCAGCATGCAGAAATCTTAGCACTAAATTGTTGGTCGCGGTGGACTAGAGCCACACACACAGGACTCTGAAAAGCTGGGAATCTGTATATGGCTAGACCAGGACTCATCAGCCCAGCCCTGCATAGACACAGCAGGAGTGCTCGTCCTGGCCCTAGGGAGAGGCCACTGCTGTCCATCAATAGTTTTTCCCAAGAGACTCTCTCCTGCTCAACACTGAGAACAATACATTGAAAGAGTCATGCCTTCCCTAGCAATGGGAGGTGTTCCTGTAGGTACCTGGCCCCTTCTGAGAACCTAGTGGGACTGGAGGCAAGTACTGGGAGGGAGATTGGCCTCAGCACTTCTCACTTTGAGATGCTCCAGAGTGTTCAGCTGCTTTGGCTCAAGTCTCATGGAGTTTCAGATCCTAAGAGTTATGGTTTGGGTCCTCCCCTTCCCCAAAAGATTTCCTCAAAGTTTCTCTCTCACTCTGGCTTATTTTACACATAGAAAACGAAAGCTAGGCATGGTGGCTCATGCCAGTAATCCCAGCACTTTGGGAGGCTGAAGCAGGAGGATCACCGGAGGTTAGGAGTTCGAGACCAGCCTGGCCAAGTAGAGTTCGAAACGCCGTCTCTACTACAAATGCAAAAATTAGTCAGGCCTGGTGGCACACACTTGTAATTCCAGCTACTTGGGAGTCTGAGGCAGGAGAATCGCTTGAACTTGGGAGGCAAGAGGTTGCAGTGAGCCGAGATCACGCCATTACAACTCCAGCCTGGGTGACAAGAGTGAAACTCTGTCTCAAAAAAAAAAAAAAAAGAAAGAGAAAAGAGAAATTGGATCTACCTACTTATTTCACCCTCTGGGGAAAGCAAAAGTGAGAGTGAAAATTATTTTCCTCATTTATCTGGGGAAACTGAGGCCCAGAGAGGTTTGGTGCCTTGTTCGAGGCCCCCTGTGAATCAGGGACAGAGGGGTGGCTGTCTGTAGCCCAGCCAAGAGCTGCCACTGCATTTTCCTCATTTAATGTTCACCCCCACACTCCCTGTGAGCAGCCACGAGGATAAGATGCTCCGTTCCATACAGAAGGGACGCAGGCGGTGTCTGGAAGGGCTTACAGGTGCCATCTATTAGGAGAGAGAAAACTTACATAAAGTGAGTCCGTGTAGAAAACACGGAGGCGACAGTTTTGGGAAACATCCCTTGACTTCTGCCTGGGTGTTGCCTTTTGGGCCACGCGGAAGCCACTGCAGGAAGAGGCCAGAAGTTCCTTCTCACCCTGTTGTCCCCTCTCTAGCCCCTCTGTCCACTCTGTCTTTTCCGTCTCTGCCCCTTTGCTGCCCTTCTCCTTCCTGTCTGTTATCCTAGGAACCTCAGATCCTTCTGTCTGCACAGTGAGGACTCTACAAAAAGGCGAGCCTTCTCTTGCTAACACGGACCCATTCTTAACAGCAACACTTCAAAATCAATCGATGTTACAAACTCTTGTCTATGTCCTTTACATAAAAGCGTTCCCAGCAAGGAAGAGAGTAGGGCAGACAGATGAAGAGAAATGGAGACCTCACCACCCCACCCCACCTTACTAGATGAAGGAGCCATGTCTCAGAAACAGGGCACTCAGGCTCTTGGCTCCCAGGTTAGAGAACAAGGCACAGAACAGCCCCTCCTCCGGAATCACAGAACCCCTGACTTGGCAATTTATCCAAGGGCACCCTGACTCCTCTGCCACGTGGATTGTTGGTTCCAGCGACGAGCAGCCCAATGAACAGTGATGTCAGACTGTTTGGGTCCAGATCATTCCTGAGCCATGAAACAGTTAAGAAATATCCTGCCCCACTGGCTGCCGTGCTCATAAAGGTAAACCAACGTGTACTTCCTTGTGGCTCCAAGACGCGCTGGCTCACTCATTTGCTCACACCCAGCACATCCAGCAGGCAGAGAAGGCAGCAGCAGGCAGGACCGCCACCCTCCCATGCAAATCACCCCCAGGAGTGCCGCCGGGCTCCTCCTGGGCAATGCTCCTGGGGCGTCTGTGGGGAAGATGCCATCCCGGGCGCTGGGCACTTTTCCTCATCCTCGCCATCCTGCTCGACACAGTCGGCCTGGTCCTTTTGCTTCTGGGGATCTTGGCCTCCCTGAGTTACTGGGACTTCCTTGTCTACACAGGCGCCCTGATCCTGGCTTTCAGCCTTCTGTTTTGGATCATCTGGTATTCCTGCAACATTGAGGTGTCCCCCGAGAAACTGGATCTGTAGTTTGGCCATGGGAAGAGGAGAGACGCAGGTGCTGTATGCAGACATGTCTGTGAACCTCGGGCTCTTGGGCACCAGCATGTTACAGCTTCTACCTAGCAAGCCCCGCCAGGACCAGGTGAGTGCACACAAGACCTACCTGGCAGGGTAGCCAGAGGGGCTTGGACAAGCAGGGGCACAACCGGGCTTCCTGAGGCTGCATGAGCAAGCAGCTGGACACTGCACCCCCAACCAGGAATTCCGGGACCCTGGCCTCCCATCCTGCTGGGGTGGACCAGCCGATAGGATGTGGGGCAGGGGTTTTCTCCTCTGGGTCCTTTTCCTCACCTAGTCGGGAAAGGAAGTCTCCACAGCCCCTTCCACCTCTGATATGCCACAAGTAATCCTGCCTGCCAGGCAGAATGGGAAGTTATCCCTTTAGCTTGGATCTTAGGGGAAAAAAGACCCCATCTGGGTTCTCTGTTGGGGAGAATCTCTGCTGGGGAGAAAAGTCTTTAGCACAGGAGAGGATGGAAAGTTCCCCAATGGCTCTTGTGCCCTCACATGCATGAAGGGGTGTGAACTGAGCTGCGGTAAAAGCAAGCAGAGCAGAACCACCCAGAATGGTCCCTCTCACTCACTTCCTCCTGCAACTGCCCAGGTGGGATACGTGAAGGCAGGTGAGAACTATTTCCCTCCATGCCCGCTCAGTGCACACACCTCCTCTCGCTGCAGTGCTCCCACCCCCCTCACTCACTCTCACGCACAGACATGTGCCCAGCCAGCCTCCAAGACCCAGAAGTCAGGAGCCTCAGGCTTCATGGATTTTGTCTGCTGAGTTGCACGTCACAGCTCAGTCTATTGCATGCAGCCAAAGAGGCAGATAGCTGTAAGATTTTTCACATCAAGACAGAGTCCCAAAGATAGAGAGGTCTGCTCCTTACAACCCTGAATTAGAGATGGACAGCTCTCCCCAGGGGACTGAAGTCAGGGCCCCGGCTCATTGGGCAGCCATACTCTCCTCCCCAGGTGGGCCCAACCTGCACACAGGTTCTTACTCCCTTAGCAAATTTAAGAGCAAAGGTCGTTGCTGCGTTGCAAGAAGGAAATAATAATTGTGTTTTTTCTGGGAGATTACATCTGACTCTCAGAACTCAGAGAAAAGAGCAGCAAACCGAAGAGGTCTCGTTAGAGTAAGGTAAGCCCATATCTAGTAAATGATGTAGAAAGAGACAAGAAGTCAGTCCCACGCTGATCCTCGACGCTTGCTAGCTGGGTGGTGATGGCCAGATTGCACACTCTGAGCCCGGGATTCTCATCTGGAAGATGAAGAGAATATCCTGGCCCTTATTGCTGTAAGGTTCAAAAAGAGGTAAGGCAGGGAAAGGCTCCACCCTTGATATGGTTCTTAACAGACGTCAAGCATACAAAACGCATAATCTGGGATGAGTTAACTGACCCAAAGTCCAAATTTGAAGTACCTTGGTGTCTCTCAAATTGGCAGTGGTGCCGGTCAACTCACACTTTGCATCATGAACCTTCAAAGCAAAAAGGGACTCCCGATTTTCGTGCTGGTACGTTGGAATGCATCAGGCACGGTGCAAGACACTGGGGATGTGACCTGAGACACACGGGCTGGGTGGGGTGGCTCATGCCTATAATCCCAGCCCTTTGGGAAGCCCAGACAGGCAGATCACTTGAGGTCAAAAGTTCAAGACCAGCCAGGGTAACATGGTGAAACTCCATCTCTATCAAAAATACGAAAAGTTACCCATACATGGTGATGCGCACCTGTAATTCCAGCTATTCAGGAGGCTGAGGCGGGAGGATTGCTGGAGTCCAGGAGGCAGAGGTTGCAGTGAGCCGAGATTACACCACTGTACTCCAGCCTGGGCAGCACACTGAGACCCATCTCAATTTAAAAAAAAAAACCACACGACATGGGGGCTCTACTTTTAGGGAGTTTGCCATTGGGTGAGAAAGACAGATATTCACTAAAGAGTCACACTGACAGAAGTAAAATAACAAAGTCAGCTCTGTGCTAGGACGGTGAGGAGTGTCCTCCCACGTGAATACTCTGCAGAGAAACTGACCCAGAAGGTGGAATCAGGGAAGGCTTCCTGGAGGAGGTGATGTTAGACTGAACACCAAAGGAAGCGTGGGAGGTAAGTGGAAAGTCTTTCAGGGAGAGACAAAGTCTTGGGCAAAGGTCCTAGAATAACAGGAAATAAAAGATGATGGGGAAATTGAAGGTCAGAGAGCAAATGTCAGAGAGGGTCAGGGCCCTGTGGTCAGAAGAGGCCAGATATGACACAGTCTTGAGGGCCCTCTGAAGGATTTTGGTCATTACTTTAAGAACAATAAGAATCCATTGAAGAAGGATAAGCAGAGGTAAGGGCTTAACATAATAGGATCTATGTTTCCAAAAGACGACCCTGACCATAGTATAGGTTATTATGGTTATGATTATTACCAGTTGAAATCCATTTTGGGAGCCAAGACAAGTGGCCAAACAATGCAGAGTCCCCAGTGTGCAGCTCTGTGCCCTGCACACCCTTTCCTCATTGAACAGAAGTTCAACAGCCCAACATTGAAGAGCATGGGCCATACCCAGACTGCCTGGCTTGAATCCAGTTTTATTCCTTTCTAGCAACATGACTTGGGGCAAGTTCCTTCACTTCTCCATGCTCCATTGCTCCAAATATGTAAAATGGAGATGGTACTAATAATAGCTGCTACGTCAGAAGGAGGTTGCACAGATTAGGTGGATTAATATTTGTTCAGCATGATGCAAGTGATGACTAAATCAAGCACCAGTCACGATGCAGGTAGCCAGCACATTACAGAGGGTGTGGGCTCCCTCCAAGGTAGACAAACCTTGAAGCGTTAGGATCAATCCTAATGACAACGCGCAGCATTAGGATTTTTCAATAGGTATGAGACTAGATGCGGCTCCAGAATGCCAGGGTTTTGTCCTGGTTCAAAGGGCCTTCAGAAGTTGCAAGAAGTTCTTTATTGGGGCCGGGCGCAGTGGCTCATGTCTGTAATCCCAGCACTTTGGGAGGCCGAGGTGGGCAGATCACAAGGTCAAGAGATTGAGACCATCCTGGCCGACGTGGTGAAACCCTGTCTCTACTAAAAATACAAAAATCGGCATGGTGGTGTGCACCTGTAGTCTCAGGGCACAGTGGCACGTGCCTGTAGTCCCAGCTACTTGGGAGACTGAGGCAGGAGAATCGCTTGAACCCAGGAGGTGGAGGTTGCAGTGAGCTGAGATTGCGCCACTACACTCCAGCTTGTGACAGAGTGAGACTTTGTCTCAAAAAAAAAAAGAAAAAGAAGTTCTGCGTTGTATTCTTTATTGAACCACCACCCCCTGCCCCATTTCAGGGATGGCTCAGAGTGACAGATTCATGTGTGTGAGACCTGATGTTTGGGAGGATGCTCACTTATGAAGCTGCCCAACCCTCCTCCCCGCATGGCCTTGGGCGAGTCATTTTACTTCCCTGTGGAACAGGAGATGTGGTTTTCAAGGGAGGTTTCGAACTGCTCTTTGCTGACGTCCCTGGGAGGGAGTTGGGACTGTGGTGAGGGGCAGAGGGAGGAGACAGGAGTCCAGCAGCCCTACCTACCCCACAGCATACATTTTACCCAGAACAGTGTTCTCAGCAGCTTTCCACATTAAACTGGCATGTAAGGCTTTATATGAATGCAAGCTTCTGATGCCAAAAATTTTCGAAAAACAACTCATCTCAGTTCCCCTACCGTCTATGACCTTTAGCCTGCATGTCAACATCAGACATATTCACGATTTACAGGTAGATTGTAACTGGCTTCGCCAGCTCTCTCATTCTCTGAGCGGGATAAAAGGAAAGAATGTGCCTCCTTGGATTCAGAGCTGACGCAATATTCCTAGCTCAGTCTTCAGAGGCTCTCTAAGATGAAGTTCAGGTTGGATGTGGTGACTCACACCTGTAATTCCAGCACTTTTGGTGGCCAAGGCCAGAGGATCACTTGAGGCCAGGAGCTCGAGACCAGCCTGGCCAACATACCGAAATCCTGTCTCTACTAAAAAAAAATACAAAAGATAGCTGGGCATTGTGGTGTGTGCCTGTAATCCCAGCTACTTGGGAGGCTGAGGCAGGAGAATTGCTTGAACCCGGGAGGCGGAGATTGCAGTGCAGTGAGCCAAGATTTCGCCACTGCATTCCAGCCTGAACAGCAGAGCAAGACTCCATCTCAAAAAAAAAAAAAAAAAAAAAAAAAAAAATGAGGTTGATAGAACCTGCCCCCACCCTGCCCCAGAGATGAGGAAGTCCCATGCCTGGTCAGGACAAGCCCTCCGCCCACAGCCTGCATGGTTCCCCAGAGACAGAGGGAAAGGTGGCTGGTGGCTAAGCCTCAAAGCCCCCCCAAGAAATTTCAGGGTGAGTGGCTTATTTTTATATCCCAGCTGTGCTCCAAGAGAGACAGACTGCCATCTGATTTTGTCACCTGGTCACTGTATTTTCAGATTTTTTTTTTTCTCCATTTTCCACTTCTTGGTCATTTCCTGCAGATAAAGGTAAGTCCCCAGGCAGAGTCAGATAAAAACTCTTGTCCTTTTATAATAGAGGGTCCAAGACTACACACCCAAACAATACGCACATATACACGCACATCCCTCCACTACTGCACATTTGTTCATGTACACACAAACACACCCCCACATGTTCATACCTACCACACACACACCAGGAAACACACACTCACAGAAACAAACACACCCACTCCCACACCAACCAAAGCCAAAAGGCATGGAAGGCTTACAGCCCTGAGCCTTGGAAAATGAAACTTGTTCCTCCACTTCAACTTTTTCCAACAGGCAGCCTCTCCCCACTGCCCACAGAGGAGGCCATTGGAGCTGCCAAGTCAGCTCAAAGGTGAGCCCGGTAAAAAGCCTTCCTCACCCCTCACCTCCTGGCCCCTTGCAGACGCGGTGCCAGGGCTGCATGGAGGAGCAAACATTTCTCTAATCTCTCCAGGGATTTTTAATCTAAAGGGAGAGATAAAGCATGTGCATGATACTTTACAAAGTCTACATGGAAAAATGCATTGCGGGAGATAAGCATAGTCTTCCTGTAATCCCAGCACTTTGGGAGGCCAAGGCAGGCGGATCATGAGGTCAATAGTTCAAGAACATCCTGGCCAACATGGTGAAACTCTGTCTCTACTAAAAATACAAAAATTAGCTGGGCGTGGTGGTGCGTGCCTGTAGTCCCAGCTACTCAGGAGGCTGAGGCAGGAGAATTGCTTGAACCCGGGAGGCGGAGGTTGCAGTGAGCCGAGATCGCACCATTGCACTCCAGCCTGGCACCTGGCAACAGAGCAAGACTCTGTCTCAAAAAAAAAAAAAAAAAAAAAAAAACATAGTCTTGCCAAGCGGAAAGGAGGCACTGAGCCTCCTGGCTGGGGGGAATCGTGCAGTGTGCAGTTCTAGCCGGGCTCCTGAGGAATGGGTAAGAATGTGACAAGCAGAGATGGCACAGGGACAGTGGCGGTGGGCGGTGGGTAGGGAGGCAGTCCAGGCAAAAGGAAAGACTACAGAAACGGAATAATTGGGGTGTTCAGGAAAAGCTGAGCGGGCACATTTCCCTTTGGGCTGGGGTCTTCAGTGCTGACTGTGCAGGACTTTGAATGCCTGGCGGGGATGCTGACACTGGGTGAGGAGGAAGGAACCTTCAATGGCTTTACATACCAGAGAGAGGCATGATCAAGCTTTGCCTGCGGAAGCATAACTCAGCATCGTGTGCAGAATGGGTGAGAGCAAAGTAGCAGTGAGACAGCAAGGCCATTCAGTAAGCTCAGGTGGCAGGTAATAAAAGGGCTCGAGCTGAAATGATGGCCACAGAGGGGAGAGGAGAAGAGCAGAGGCTGCGTGAGTGGAGGACGGCTCGTCCTGTTCTACAGCAGGTCAGGAGTGGCATGGCAGAAAGCACCCCCGGGGCATGGAGTGAGGGAGGTCAGGAGAAGGCATGAGTTTGTTTAAAATAATGCATTTTACCCATCCATGATAGGCTGGATAAAGACAATGTGGCACATGTACACCATGGAATACTATGCAGCCACCAAAAAGGATGAGTTCATGTCCTGTGCAGGGATATGGATGAAGCTGGAAAGCATCATTCTCAGCAAACTGACACAAGAACAGAAAACCAAACACCACATGTTCTCACTCATAAGTGAGTGTTGAACAATGAGAACACATGGACACAGGGAGGGAACATCACACACTGGGGCTTGTCAGGGGGTGGGGGTCCTAAGAGAGGGAGGGATAGTAGGGGTTGGGGGGACTGGGGAGGGCTAACATTAGGAGAAATACCTAACGTAGATGACCGGGGATGGAGGCAGCAAACCTCCATGGCATGTGTATATCTGTGTAACAATCCTGCATGATCTGCACATGTGTCCCAGAACTTAAAGTATAGTAAGAAAAAAAAGATGCATTTTCTTTTGAACATGCAGAGTTTGATATGCAAATGGTGTATGAGCAGAGCTACGTAATTGGCTTTGACTCTGCAGACTTAAAACTCAAAAGAGAAATCAGGTGTGGAGAGGGAGGTGAGGGTTGGAGACGCCTGTGGATGAGACTGCAGAGGGTGAGCAGGTGGAGAGAAAAGGGATTGGGAGAGTGAGAAAGGGAAGGAAGGAAAGAAGGAAGAAAGGCAGGGAGGGAGCAAAGAAGGAGAAAAGAATACTAAGATTCACTGAACCAGGCCCTAGGGTTGCACATTACCCAATTTCACCCCATCAACAAAGCCATGAGGAAAGTAGTAGTAGTAGTATCATCATCATCATCATCATCATCATTATTATTCCCCTCATACAGAGAAGAATAAGGAGGCCAGGTGTGGTGGCTCACGCCAGTAATCCCAACACTTTGGGAGGCTGATGTGGGCGGATCACCTGAGGTGCAGAGTCCCAGACCAGCCTGACCAACATGGAGAAACCCCTTCTCCACTAAAAATACAAAATTAACTGGGTATGGTGGTGCATGCCTGTAATCCCAGCTACTCGGGGGCTGAGGAGGAGAGTTGCTTGAACCCGGGAGGTGGAGGTTGCGGTGAGCCGAGATCGCGCCATTGCACTCCAGCCTGGGCAACAAGAGCGAAACTCCGTCTCAAAAAAAAAAAAAAAAAAAAAAAAGGCCGGGCACGGTGGCTCAAGCCTGTAATCCCAGCACTTTGGGAGGCCGAGACGGGTGGATCACGAGGTCGAGAGATCGAGACCATCCTGGTCAACATGGTGAAACCCCGTCTCTACTGAAAATACAAAAAATTAGCTGGGCATGGTGGCGCGTGCCTGTAATCCCAGCTACTCAGGAGGCTGAGGCAGGAGAATTGCCTGAACCCAGGAGGCGGAGGTTGCAGTGAGCCGAGATCGCGCCATTGCACTCCAGCCTGGGTAACAAGAGCGAAACTCCATCTCAAAAAAAAAAAAAAAAAAGGATAATAAGGTATATGGAGGTTAAGTAACTTGCCCAGTGTAATGGAACTAGGCAGTGATAGAGCCAGATTGTAAAACCAGGTATGTCTGATCCTAATGTTTATGCTCTTTCCACAAGACCGGGGATCAGCAACTACAGCCAACCTCCTGTTTCTGTAGATAGAGTTTCATTGGAGCACAGCCTGACTCATTCACTCACGTGTTATCTATGGCTGTTTCATGCTATAGCGGCAGGGTCGAGCAGTGGTAACAGAGACCATGTGGCCTGTAGAGCCTATGACATTTACTACCTGGCCCTTGACAGAAAACATTTGCCAGCCCCTGGCCTAGCCACGTATGCTTCCTATAGGAGCCAGGGCAGAACCCTGAGCCATGCCTGTATGTGGGGAACAGGAAAAGGAAGGCAGACGGAAGAGCCCAAATGGAAGTTCCCAGTAATAATAAGGAAGAGACGTTACACCAATGGCAAAGAGGACAAAGAAGGATGTATTATCAAGAGTGAGGGGAACTACCCAGCAGATGCTTCAAAGCCATCAAAAAAGGCTGAAGCCTGAGGAGAGGCAGTTAGACAGATCCAGCAATGTGTCCTTCTCAGTAAATGGTGGGGATCGGACTGGGCACGGTGACTCACACCTGTAATCCCAGAACTGTGGGAGACCGAGGCAGGTGGACCACCTGAGGTCGGGAGTTCGAGACCAGCCTGACCAACATGGAGAAACCCTGTCTCTACTAAAAATAAAAAATTAGCTGGGTACATGCCTATAATCTCAGCTACTCAGGAGGCTGAGGCAGGAGAATCACTTGAGCCTGGGAGGCGGAGGTTGCCGTGAGCTGAGATCATGCCATTATACTCCAGCCTGGGCAACAAGAGCAAAACCTCCTCTCAAAAAAAAAAAAAAAAAAAAAAAAAAAAAAAAAAAAAAAAAAAAAAAAATGGTGGGTACAGAAATCAGATGATGCTACTTATGAGGTGGCTGAAGATGTGTGAGGAGTGAGCACAGATTCATCTTCAAAATATTTTGTGATGAGATTAAGAGGGCAGGGCGGTCATCTGCTGGCATAACTGTGCTAAGGTGCGAATTTTTAGAAAAGGGATACAGAGAATTGAGCAAGATGGTAAGTGGAGGAGAGAGAGCCAGTAGAGAGGAGAAGAGGAGGCTGAAGTGACAGACGAAGATGAACCTGTGATCACATCCAAGGTGCAGGTGGGAGACGGAAGTCAGACCAGAGAGAGGTAGGCATCCGCTTTGCCTGCAAGGAAGGGTAAGGAGAAGAAACTAAGACATGATGAGAATCTTGATATGTATGAAGCCACTCACTTATTTTCATGATTTCATTCAGTGCTTACAACTCTGTGAGTTAGAAATTCAAATGACCATGTTGCAGGCAAAGGAAACAGTCTCACATAGTTTCAGGGCCAGCCCACAGTAACAGTGTCATAGAGAGGCAGCTCTAGCATTCAAACTTAAGTCTGGCAACTCCAAAGACTATGCTGGTTTCACCACACACAGGCTTGAAATTGATATATTTGGGGTGGGGACTGATCCATTTTATGTTCGTTTGTTCCACACAGGTCCCATCTGATGAAGGAGAATCAATTCAAGGAGATGCGCTCTCTTTACAGCACACCCTTTAACAGCATCCAGGAAGCTGCAATGGAGAGGCTTTTAAAGTATTCACAAGGATGCCCAAGAATGGCGGTGATGCCAGGCTTCTGGCAGGTTCCAGGCTCCATCACAAGCTCAGCATCCCTGCACCAGATCTGACATCGTTGCTGCTGTCCCAGCTGTCTATGAAGGGCGTGAGTAGCTATCAAGTTGTTAGAACAGCAGCTCTGCAAGGGGCTTAGACACCAAAAGAGAAGTCTCATCCTCTGCAATTCTCATCAATGTTCCGATGTCATTGTCAAAGCACTGAGAACCAAGCACAAGCACCGGAGTCCAAATGGGATCTCCTGCGAGCACATATCAAGAAGTATTGTTGCTGTTTCTCCTCGTCGGCTCTTTGAACAGACTGTGTGGGCTCCTGGAAGGCTCCACTGTATCTATCCTTTGATACTGTCCAGTTGGCACGTGGTAACATATTCCAACGTGTTGATTGCAAACGTGAATGTACAGCCAGTGCTGTGTGTGGGAGGACTCTCTCCTCCTCAGTGGGGGCCCCACTTGTTTGCACAGCCTGGCCATGCAGTGGCTCATATTGAGCTTTTAACCAACTGAAACCTCCTGCACGTTTTTCTGACAAGCCGGTGACTCCTCTGCTATGCTGTCCTTGTGTCATTCATTTTATGACCTTAAGGGCAGGACTGTTTTTATCTTAAGTTACGTCTGGTCAAGTACAGCCCAAAAACAGCAACTCTGAGGGTCAAGCCTGATAGGCTAACCAGATAGATATGCTCAGCTTCGTCATCCACTGGAGCCTGACTGCCTCACTAATTTATATTTCCCCTGGTCTAATGTTGTATTTTTTTATTTATATTTCACCCTTAGAGTATATGTGTCTCTTATAAGCTGCCTCTGATCTTTCATGGTATGAGGTGGTTACCTAAATAAAGAAGTAGATTTGGTCTTTGTTTTCATGTAACAGGACATATTCACGAGTCTTCATGATTTCATAATAGTACTCACAGTTTCAGCACATCCTCTTCGCAATTGTTTAACTGGCCCTGGTGCAAATCCTGGAATTCTACCCTCAGTAAGGTGCCTCCAGGGAAGGAACACATAGAACACAATGTGCTAAAGACAGCAAGCCTTGCTGGGTGCAGTGGCTCACGCCTGTAATCCCAACCCTTTGGGAGGAGGCTGAGGCAGGTGAATCACGAGGTCAAGAGATTGAGACCAGCCTGGCCAACATAACGAGACCCCGTCTCTACCAAAAATACAAAAATTAGCTAGGTGTGGTGGTGCACACCTGTTCTCCCAGCTACTTGGGGGAGGCTGAGGCAGGAGAATTGCTTGAACCTGGGAGGCGGAGGTTGCAGTGAGCTGAGATCTCACCACTGCACTCCAGCCTGGGGAACAGAACAAGACTGTGTCTCAACAAAAGAAAAAAAAAAAAGAACACAGAGCACGGGTTAACCTGACACCATGGAGTCTTCTGGCGTCTCTGTGCTCTGCCACCAGCCTAGCATCTCCGAATTGGGCTGGCCTCAGAAACCTGATGAGCTATCACAAAAGAACATTGCAGTTATGGAATTCAGAAGAAATATTTCTTTCCTACTCAGAATCTTCCTCAACCACTTGTAATCCTCTCATCTTCCTAGGTGGAAGTCTCTGTGCCTGAGCTGACTATACACTGTGAGGGGCCAGAGCCTCTTCCTTGGGGCTCTAAAATTCACAGGGAAGGAAAAGTCGCGTGTAATCAGAACCAGTCTGAAAAATTCCTTGGGAAGACGTTGTGTGGGAGGTCACATGACTTCTCTTCATGAGACCAGCATCGTTGTTTTGTTTTCATTCTAGAAGTGGAACCGTTTTCTGTTTTCTTTGGCTGGGTACCAAATGCAGCTGTTGGCTTTCATTTAGTAGAAGCCAAATTGCTGAAAAACTGCGAATCTTAAAAAACTAGGATCCCGGGCCGGGCGCAGTGGCTCATGCCTATAATTCCAGCACTTTGGGAGGCCGAGGCGGGTGGATCACAAGGTCAAGAGATCGAGACCATCCTGGTCAACAAGGTGAAACCCCGTCTCTACTAAAAACACAAAAATTAGCTGGGCATGGTGGCGGGCACCTGTAATCCCAGCTACTCGGGCGGCTGAGGCAGGAGAATTGCTTGAACTCAGTAGGCAGAGGTTGCGGTGAGCCGAGATCACGCCATTGCACTCCAGCCTGGGTAACAAGAGTGAAATTCCATCTCAAAAAAAAAACACTAGGATCCCCCTCTGGCCAGAGCGTATAGGATCCCACTCTGGCCAGAGCATATGTTCACATCTAAGAGAGACGGAAGGAGCTGAGAGTGGCTGAGCCGCAGATTCCGACCTCGCATGTCACACTCACTCTAGGGAGTTTCCCGCACGGTTTACATCGCCCTTTCTCACACACTTGGGCTGTTGGTCTGTAGGTTAAACACATATATGATGGTTCTCCACGTAGAGCATTTGTTCGACTCAGTTAGAGGCCATGCCGCTTGGGAGAATGACTATACAATAAATCTGTGATAATAGGAGTAAGGGGCGAATTAAATGCAGTCCCTGCTGGTTACTTCCTAGTCTTTAGCCTGCAGGAAGAAAAGGGAGGCCCACAGAGGAGGATTTGCTGGAATTTGTCATTGAGCACTCAGCAACCACATTAAAGAACTGGAACTCAGCTGGGCATGGCGGCTCACGCCTGTAATCCCAACACTTTGAGAGGCCGAGATGGGCAGATCACAAGGTCAAGAGATCAAGACCATCCTGGTCAACATGGTGAAACCCCGTCTCTACTAAAAACACAAAAAATTAGCTGGGCATGGTGGTGCGTGCCTATAATCCCAGCTACTCAGGAGGCTGAGGCAGGAGAATTGTCTGAACCCAGGAGGCGGAGGTTGCGGTGAGCCGAGATCGGGCCATTGCACTCCAGCCTGGGTAACAAAAGTGAAACTCCGTCTCAGAAAAAAAAAAAAAAAAAAAAAATTAGCTGAGCGTGGTGGCAGGTGCCTGTAATCCCAGTTACTCGGGAGGCTGAGGCAGGAGGATCACCTGAGCCTGGGGCAGTTGAGGCTGCAGTGGGCGGTGATCGCACCACTGCACTCTGGCTGGCGTGACAGAGTGGGATCCTATCTCAAAAAAAAAAAAAGTGCAGATTCAGATTCAGCAGATCTGGGGAGGGGCCCAAGACTGCATTTCTAACAAGCTACCAGGCCATGCTGCTGCTACTGGTTCCTGAGACACTTTGAAGAGAGAGGCTCCCAAGCAACCCCATCATTTCAGGGGTGGGGAAACTGAAACTGCAGGCAGAGAGGCTTTACCAAGTTCAAGCAACTGAAAAGTGACAGATTCAGCTCTGGAGCCCAGATCTCCAGGCTGCCAGTCAAGTCTTCTTGCCTCTCCGTAAATGGCTGCCTGGTTTCTCCCGAGCCCTGCAGAGCCTAAGGCAGAACAAGCAAGCGAGCAGGTCAGCAGCTGCGGAAGTGAGGCACGCTCATGCTGTGGATGAGTCATGCACCTTCACCCCTCGGGAAGCACCCGGGCTGTGCCTTGAGCCCAGGAAGGAGCAGGCCTCCATGCTGCTCTGTGTCACTTCACATGCCACAGCGCTGAGCCCATGGGTGCCCATCACGCAGGGCAGAGAGGGAGGAGGAAATAGGAAGCGCCACAATGCCACCAGGCAGGGCCACATTAAGCTGGGCTACATCTGATCTGGACTCGTCCTCCCAGAAAGCTCTCCACCAAAGGGTTGGGCATGGGGAGCCTCTTACTGTTCTCCAGCCCCATCTCATGGCCCCTCCTCCTGTCTGTTCCCTCTGGAGGCAACTGGGTCTTTTCAGTGACCTGAACTCTGTCCACTCTGCCACTTACAAGCTGAGTGACTATAGGTAGCCCTCTCCTATTAGGAGGCAATCATAATGACATCACAGTCACAAGTGAGCCAGCACTGGCCTTCAGGACTTCTGCAACCTCCTGAATTGGCAAATACCTTAGAAGGTATCATTTCCCCTTTGCAGAAATCAAAATGTAGAGCTGTAAACCTTAGGCCATCTCTTCCTGATTCTAGGGCTATAGACCTGTCATTTTTAAAGCTATTTAAAGTAAGGTCGGTCGGGCACAGTGGCTCACTCCTGTAATCCCAACACTTTGGGAGGCTAAGGCGGGTGGATCGACTGAGGTCTGGAGTTCGAGAGCAGCTTGACCAGCATGGTGAAACCCCATCTCTACTAAAAATACAAAATTAGCCAGGCGAATTGGCACATGCCTGTAATCCCAGCTACTCAGGAGGCTGAGGCAGGAGAATCACTTGAACCCGGGAGGCAGAGGTTGCAGTAAGCTGAGATCGCACCATTGCACTCCAGCCTGGGCAACAAGAGTGAAACTCCATCTCCAAAAATAAAAATAAAAGAAAATAAAGTAAGATCTGCCGTAATGATCAAGTTCACTTTTCACACAACCTCATCCTCATGGCTTATTGCAGAGATGACCAACAAGACTCACAAAACTAGGGGAAAGTGGTCATACTAGGTGGAAGGGCAGCCTACCCCCCAATCAGTAGCCTCAAAGTCCCTCGGGTTGAACTCATCTCTCAGTGAAATTACAGTACGGTGGAGGAAGGTGAGCTTAGCCTTCCTGGATCACAAGCTGACCTCCACCACTGAGGAAGGCTCAGAAATGTATTTGCATGAAGGACCGAAGAGCCTCCTGGGTAAAAACAAACCCTAAGGGTACAGGTAGTCAGGCAAACCAGCTTGACCTGGTATCAGACACTTTATGCAGTTATGTTCAGCTTCCTTTACCTTCCAACTGTGTTTTTTCACAGGGAAAAAGGGCTGAGAGAAGGGATAGACTGAATTGGGTTGGGGGGCGGGGAACATAGTCTATATGATACTAAGATATAATCTCAGCACTTGAAGGCATCCAACATACGCTTGTGTTTGTTCCCGATAGACACGGTAATAATCTGGCAGAAAAATAAAACAATAGATGCCAACTAGTAGCTGACTGAAATTGTTTATGAGCTGAATCAGTTCTTCTAAGACTTCCAGAAGTTTCTTGGCAAGGCAGGCACACAAGGGGAATGGGTACCAGCCAGGAAAACAAGGATAACAATAAACCACACCTCGTCAGGCATACTGAGAAGAAAGGCTCAAATACCAGAAGCTGAATCTGAATCTGGGATATGCCAAAGCTTTGCTATGTGAGCAAACACATCTGTGCACTGTATGTCATTGCCCGATGTCCACACTCTTGTCAACTATCATTTTATACGTCTTTGTTCCTTGATTTGTTGTTTGCTATTTCAGGCAGGAGCATAAATCCAGTCTTTGTTATTCCATCTTAGCCAGAAGTAGAGGGGGTCCTTGTTTCACCACCAGGCTTTTGTCTTCACTCAGAGAGAGAAAATCGGAATAGAAGAAAGAACACTAGGTCAGGAATTAGCAAGTGCGGGTTCCAGTCCAGGCCCCATGGCCTCTGGTGAGTCTTTTTACAGCTTGGGGTGATTTTACATCTCAGCTTTCTCATGTGAAGTTTGCATAAGAATGGTGCCTCACCCGGTTACAGTGGCTCACACCTGTAATTCCAGCACTTTGGGAGGTCTAAGCGGGTGGATCACCTGAGGTCAGGAGTTCGAGACCAGCCTGACCAACATGGTGAAACACCGTCTCTACAAAAAACACAAAAATTAGCCGGGCGTGGTGGTGGGTGCCTGCAATCCTAGCTCCTTGGGAGGCTGAGGCAGGAGAATCATTTGAACCCAGGAGGTGGAGGTTGTGCACAGATCCAAGGACTAAACAAAGGGAATGGCCAGCAGCAGGTGCCTCTGACATTACAGCAGCCACAGGTCACAGGCTTACATGCATTCCTTTATTCAACAAAGGGTCACCTCAGGCCTCATTCCAGGCAGATTCTGATGCCTGCCCAAGTCTTAGAACTTCACCTTACAGGTCTTTTGATGCTG